GTGCACTAAGATATATTAGGCGGTGAATGCCAGATGGAGGCAGCACCCAAATACCACAGGAACTATAAAATGTGTTTTAAGATACAAAACAAAAATGATAATTTACCACGAAGAGGTACCATCTCACACTCGTTAGGATGGCTGCTGTAAAACCCAGGAAATAACAAGTGTTGGAGAGGATATAGAGAGATTGGAACTTGTGTGCACTGTTGGTGGGAGTGGAAAATGGCGCAGCTGCTGTGGAAAATTGTATGGAGTTTCCTTAAAAGAGTAAAAATAGAATTGCCATATGATCCAGCAATCCCACTTCTGGGTATATACCCAAAGGAACTGAAGGCAGAGAACTGAAAAGATACTTGTACACCAGTGTTCACAGCAGCACTGTTCTCAACAGGCAAAAGGTGAAAGCAACACAAATGTCCATCGATGGATGAATGGATAAACAACATGTGGTATACACATACTGTGAACTAATACTCAGCCTTAACAAGGAAAGAAATTCTGACATATGCCTCAACATGAAGGCACCTTGAGAACGTTATGCTGAGTGAAATAACTCAGTCACAAAAGGACAAATACCGTATGATTCCACTTATGGGAGGTGCCTGGAGGACTCAAATTCATAGAGACAGAAAGTCGAATGGTGGTTGTCAGGGGCTGGAGGAGGGGAAAAGAGAGAGTTAATGTTTAATAGACTTTCAGTTTTGTAAGATGAGATGCTCTGGAAATGGAAGGTGGTGACGGCTGCACAACAGTGTGAAAGGACTTAATGCCACTGAACTGTGCTCTGAAACTACGGTTAAAATGGTAAATTTCATGTTATGTGTGTCTTAGCACAATTTTAAAATACATAAATAAAATCACGTATTCCTCAGTCCTTTCAGGCCTCCCCAGAATGATGGAATTGCCCAGAATTAAACAACTGGCAAGGGCTGGGCCATTCAGTCATTCCGTGCATATGTCAGGGTTCACAAGCTCACAGGCCCAAAACCGAATCTCACTCTTAGTTGACTGAGGCCTTAGTGCCCCACCTTTGGGTCACTGGTCTCCTTGGACTTAGCAGGAGGGGGATGAGGGGAGAGTTAGGGGTGGGGAGGGATGCTGGTGGAAGGAACCATGCGAACTTTAAGCCACCCAGGTGAACACCGGAAACAATCAACCCAGCGGAAAGAGGAAGGAGATAATAGAGGATAGTTTCCAGCTGCACAGAAGTGACTAAAAGAAGAAACTGAGGAGAAGCCCCAGGAGAAGTGTCCCATCCTTATGGAAAAGGGGTTAAATGTGTGGAGTCTGAGCCCTGACTGTCAGGTTGGAATCCTAGCTCTGGTAGTGGTAGATTCTAGTGTGATCATGGTCATGCCTTGACATTCTCTGTGCCTCAGTCTGCTCATTTGAAATAAGCTTAAAACAGGGCCTGGCACATGGCAAGTGGAGTAGAAGTATTTGTTCAGTAAGAGAAAAGGTCCTCCATTTCATCTTCACTTTGAGGATGCCTTAAGGACTGGACGGTTCTAGAGCCATCCAGAGGGGAAACTGCAGAGGTGGAGTGTCCCTTCTAGAGAAGCAGCAGAGCTGAATGACCATTTCTTCCATCAGTTTGGTTACAGGGTGACTGATCCACCCAGATGTCACAACTGCCCTGCCCTTGACCCATCACGCCAGCACGTTTAGTTCTTGGAAGGTGGACACAGCTAGTTTTTTAATTTGAGTAAGTAATTCATGAACATAGTACAAAATTCAAAGGCATAAAAGGCTGTTTGGTGAAGCAGAATCTCCCTCCCCAGTGACAAAGTTCTTAGCAGAGACCACCCTCCTCCTCTCTCCCCACTGTGTTTGATTTCCTGTGAAAGGAAGGAAACCCTTAAATCAAATGGATTTGCTCTTCAGGGAATTGGTTCAGATGGGCAGCAGACAGTTGCCCAGGGAAAGCCTGTCTGTAAAAGCTGGTGGCATCAAGGGACTTGGGGAGGCCACCAGAAAGATGTTTAGAAGTGGGGTCCTGCTTTCTGCTGGGTGATCCTGCAGGTGGGTCATCATCTGCCATGTTGTCCCTGGGCTGTTTCTGTTTCTCTCCTCCCTTAGTATGAACCCTGAAAGCAGTAGCTTTGGGTTTCTTATAAGCCTTTTGGGATTAAGGCTGAGAGCCCCCACCTTTTCTCGACAATGTGGAAGACATCAGTTTCTTAATCCGTGTACAGATAGGACACTGAGGAATAACAGAGATCAGCATCAGAGGCCTTCCACCCCACCCCTGCTTCACCCTCCTTTTTGTTCCCTTTCCTTCGCTTTCATTTCTCTTCCCCACCCCCAAGTGCACACTAAACACAATGAGCAGTGCCTGGGCTTCCCATGGATTTATGATTTATGGTTATTCAGCTTATTATCTAAGTGGTTTTGCCAGGTAAAATATTAAGGCACCACTGCCATTATAACCTTGTCTTCCATGATCTCATTGGCAGCTGGTGTTGCCATGACAACTGGGCTGGAGAAACTGGTACTGAGTTTCAGTGGAAGACGATGCAAACTCTGTTGTGCGTGTGTGTGTGTGTGCGCGCGCGCAGACTTCCCATCATGTGTATCTGTTGTGCAGGAAGCCATGAATTTCTCAATCCTCACCTTCTGCTTCTCCTTCCAGTGTGGTCAAAATTAGCTTCAGAGCTCTAAATCAATTAGAAGGAAGCTTTGGAGGATGATTTCTTTGTGTAGCTTTTGAGTAGCAAATTGGAACCAGGGACACATAAGAAATATTTTCGAGGCTTTTTACCCACGTGAAATGAAGCAACTACATCCACTGGATGTCGCTCTTTTAAAAGCACCTTGGGCCTAACTTATTTATCGTCTTCCTGTAATTCCCTTATTAGTCATAGAGAGTCAGAGCTAGAAGGGACCCCAGATGTCATCTATCTGATCTCCTTTTCATTTAGATTAGAAAACTGAGGCCCAGAGAGGCTAAGTGACTTGCCCCCATACAGTACACAAAGTGAGAGGCTATTGGCTCTGGAATCACACTGCTTGGCTGAAATCCTGGCTCCAGTGTGTATTTACTGTGTCTTCAGCCAAGTGACTTAGCCTCTAAGTCTCAGTTTTCTCATCTGTAAAATGGGAATTATAGTGAGAGCAACCTTACTAGGTCGTTGTAAGGATTAAGTGAGAGAATCCATGATGTTGGACATATGAAGCCCATAAATTTTATGACTATTACCCAGGGTTGCAATGAGAATCAGTGACAAAATGGGACTAAAATCCAGCTCAGCTAACTCCTATTTAAACAGGACCCTCTCCTATTAATCAGGTCCTGTCCTTTGTTTCTTTTTTGTGTGTATGTTACTTGTTACCCAGGGAAGAGTGGAAGCCCCTTTGGAGATAGGAGTTGTCTTTTCTTAAAACCTCCTCTAAAGTGTGTACAATGCATGCCCTAGGTACCCTGTGGATACTTGTTGATTTGAGGATAAACATTACACGGTTCATGCACTCACGGAACGTGGATTGAATGTACACGCATGGCTGTAGTGCAGGAGGGAAAGAAGGAGAAGAAAACTTAAGGACGGAAGTGAACATTTTTTGATCACTTAGTATGAAACGGGCATTTTGCTAATAAGCTCTTTACAAATGCATTTAATCATCATAGCAATCCCACGAAGGGCACATATTCATTCCCATTCTACAAAGAAGAAAATTCAGACCGAGTGGGTCTGCAGCATACCGGGGTTCACATGGCAGGTTGACAGAGCTGCGTTTCCACCCACCTTTTTACTGCAAGGCGCTGCTGATGCCCTCAATACACTGTGTGGTTCAAAAGAATTTCTCACCCCCTCTGTGAGCCAAAAGCACATTTCCTGAGGTGGTGAGAGAGACTGATAGATACCTTTTCCATCACTGACACAGAGTGTACAAAGCACAGTTGTGTAACTCCGAGGGTCCAAAATATTCTCCCAGTCAAACTTGACTGGCATTGAGAGTCACACCAGGCCGGGTGGCTTTGCAGAATGCCACTTGTTTGAACTTCCTTTCATCACTCTGTCAAGAGTAAGAGCAATGCAGTGGAACCTCACAGTCCTGCTCAGAGGAGCAGGCTGTTCTGGGGAAATTTATTTCAAAGGATATTCTGAATTAAAAACACGCCCACTTGGGAGGGGGCAGTGATCCTATACCCTATATCCTAGGTAATGAGGCCATTAAAGCAGCTGGTCTCCTCACATCTTATGTAAGAGTGGCTTAGCCTCTGGGTGAGCTGGGCTAAACAGCACAGAATTCAACCGAGTGAGCCATCCCTAACCTGGAGTTAAGGATGAAAGTCAGATGTGGACAGGGTGTCTGAGTCCTATGAAACAGGGCCCAGAGAGGATAATACGTAGGCTGCCACAACCACTATGCTTTTTAAAAATTTATTTACACTATGTTTATTTGGGCTTGGGGAATCAGGGAGACCGATGAAGATCTGGAGGAGATTAAGGGGCCCTTCCTGGCACTGCACGACGTTGCAAAACTAATGGCAAGTCTGTACTTTGGAGACAGTCTTACCTCTGTCGAGGGAGACCCAGCCCTGCCTCCCAACCTGTGTCACTGTGTGCACGTTACTAACCTGATTTACGGCACCTGCTGAAAAGACAGTGTCCCTCCGCTGAGTTATTGGGGGTATTATGTGAAGTAAAATAGGTGGGAACTATGATAAAACCCATCAGATGGAGACATCTTTTTAATATCAATAGCCTCATCGTTTTTATTACACATGACTTTCTGAGTCACCAAATTCTCGGTGTGTTGCAGTGCCATCTTTGCACCCCAGTCATACCCAGCAGGCAGGTATTCCTCAAACACGTACTGACACCCGGTTTCAACCCCGAGGTGACTATGCGGACCTCGAGCGCGGCCCGCAGCAGGGTCTGGATTCCCTCACCCAGGGCTGGAGGGGGCGCTCTCCAGAGCCGGGGCAAGGGGACGTTCCCCATCGTACGGTTCGTTCTCTCCCAGTGGAGAAAAGCACCGGAAAGCGGCTCTTACATAACTGGGATGATGTAACCGCTGGCGGCTCGGGAGGGGCTGGGCGGAGGCACCGGGAGCGCGGGGCCGCGGGACTCTGCGTGCGGCGTGCGCCCCACCATGCTCCTCTACCGCAGCGCCGCGTGGTTCGCCAAGGGGCTGCGCGAATACACCAAGTAAGGATGCCAGGGTACCGCGCCGAGGGCCGCGGGCCAGGGGCACTGCCGGCCGCGAGGCGGGGCCGTCTGGCTGTCACGTGGCCCACCGCAGCGCTAACGGGGACGCGCCCGCGGCTTGGACCCGCTAAGCGACAGTGGCGGCCGCTGGCTGGCAGCCGGCAGATACAAGTGGGGGCGGCTGGCCTGGTCCGACCCTTCCGCGCTCCGGGACCCGGCTGGCCCCGGGGGCGGGGCTTGCTCCTGGGGCGGGGCGTTGCCGCCTTGGGGCCCCACCCACTGACGTCAGGCGGCCCCGGCGCCTCCGAGCCTCCTGGGCGTTACCTTGGCGCCTTGCTAGGCAGGCTCCGCTAACTGTCTCCGTGGTTTTAGGGGGTGGCACTTCTGGGGATGGAGAGATGGTTTTTAGTGTTTCTCAATCCTATATGAACATCAGAATCACCGGCAGAGATTTTAAGGTACCAGTTTTCAGGCCCTCTCCCTAGAGATTGTGATTCAGTTGGTGTGCACTGGGGCCTATACTGACTTTTTATAAAAATCCTACAGGTGATTCTCCTAAGCAGCCCATTAATCTCTAAGAGACTTCCTTTTCTCCCTGCACTAGGGCTTTTATCAGTTCCCAACGCAGCCTGGGCAGATTTGTATCATCCCAGGACCCCAGGCATCATTCCAAGGGGAGACAGCTGCTGCTGCTCCCGTCTCTTCACCACACACTTTTGGGAAAAGTGCAGACGCTCCTTAGGGGTCAGTGCTGCAGAGAATGTGGGACATGTAGCTGTCATCCCTGAGCCGCTGAGTTTAGGTGAATACATACGCTGGCAGACTCTCTTTCAAAGGGGTGTGCTCGCAGTGGCCACCATTTGCTGGGTCTTTCCATGTTACACAGAATGCAGCACGAAGGGCTTGAGTCAGCTTCCTGCCCCGGGAAGGCAGGCTTCTAAAAGTCTCTCCCCAGACTCTTTCGTAGAATTGGAGGGATGCAAACTTAGGCGAGTTTCCCTGCTGTTGTGCATTTAGTGAGTTGGAGGGGAAGACTACACTTTTGTGAGAGTCTGTAGTTTGGCTTTACAATGTTTTTTTCTTAGGACATCTGTATTTTTATAAAGCTTCCCTGTATTGGGCCCTGAGGCAGCAAAATCTAATCAGTTTCCTAAAACTGCCTGAAGCTAAGAATTACCAAGGGCAATTAAACACCAATGACTGACTGCTGAGCCCCTAGTGGGTGTGGGTGGGGCCTAAGCAAATTCCATGTTGGTAAATTGGGAGGAACCTGCTGGGAGCTTGCCACCGGGTGATTTCTGTACTAGGGGTTCAGGAAACACTAAAGACAGTGGTTACTGAGCTTGAATCAAAATCACCTGGAGGGCACGTGAAACCACAGATTGCTGGGCCTCACCCTGAAATGTCTGACTCCACAGACATTCCCAGGTGATGCTGGTGCTGCTTATGTGGGGACTGCTCTGAGCACCACGGGCAAGGTAGAAGGTGGTCTAGGCTGGATGCTGAAAGAATGGAATTGTCCATGGGCTTTGTCACCTACCATCTTGTGACCTTGGGCAAGTCATTTGCTTCTCTCTGTTTGCGAAATAACCACTGATATGGAGAGTTTATAAAGATTAAAAAAAGAGGGCAGGAGGATACCAAAAAAGCTGTCTTATTATTAACAACAGATTGGATCAGGATGGAATCCTTGTGTTGAAGGCAAAGGACAAAGGGAGGCTTGCAGGCCAGCCTGGCACCACCCACTTGGCAACTGGCCCCTGGCCTGGAGTTTGAGGAAGAGGTTTAATCCACAGGAGCCGCCCTCAGCAAAACATAGTCTCTAATAGGATCAACGTGGTGGCCCAGAGGCTAAAGTCTCCTCTAGCTGTGTCCCAGAGGACAGCCCCTCCGCTCCTGTCCCTGGGAGGAAGGGGCTCTTGGGCCTGTTCCCCGTGGGGCACTCCCTCGGGGCCTGTTCTCTGTGGCCTGCTCTTCTTCCAGCCCTGTTGTGGTTCGGGAAGCTCTCACTCGTGCCCCACCAGTGCCTTCTCCTGCCCAGGCCCCTAGTCACTGACTCCTTGCTCTTCTTTTTTTTCCCTTGGCGGGAGGTCTTTAGGGTTTCTGTTTATTTATTTATATGGAGGTGCTGGGGATGAAACCCAGGACCTCGTGCATGCTAAGCCTGCGCTCCACCACTAAGCTATACCCTCCCTGCCTCTTGGCTCTTTGTAGGGAAACTTTCTTCTGTAAGAAAATCCTTTCACGGTGGTCCTGGGACCCCCACTCTTAGGGGAAAACAAATCTTCCAGCTTCATCTTTGCTTATAGTTTCAAACACTCTCAAATTCCCTAATGATTTGAAGCATGGGGGTGGGGGGGAGTGGGCAGCTGCAAATGAAGAGTTTAATTTTGAACGGGAAGGGTATTCATGTCATTATTAATAACTAATAATAATAGCAACTGCTGGTTTTTGAATTCTTTATTCCAAGTGTGTGATAAATGCCTTACGGACTTTATCTCACCTAGGCCGCCCCTTTTGTGCGGATGAGGCGAGACAGGAGCGCAGAAAGGTTAAGCCGACACATGAGCGTGCACAGCTGTTAAGAGGCAGAGCTGTGCTTTAAAGCCAGGTTGTTTGATCCAAAGCCCTCATTATTGATATTATTTTTAGTTTCAAGTCAGCCTTTCAGGAAGCCTTGGAACAGGCAGAAGTCTTACTTGCCCCACTAAGTGGGCTGCTTAGTGAACAGCAGAAGCAACGAGAGGGCCGTCCTCCGAGCTGCCCTGGGTGTTTGGGCGAGTCACAGCCGGTGGGAACAGGAACATTCTTCTTGGTCTCTTGACTGCCCCTGTGGCAATGCCTTCCAAACCAAACCCAAGCTCACAAACATTCTTTGGCCTCTTCACCAGTGTCCAGGCATGTAATTGGCCGTTGTGCTGTACTGGGGCGTGGGGCAGGAGACCAGCTGTTGGCAGTCTCTGTGTAAACAGGGTGTGGGGAGGGCACTGGGAGTCTTCCAGAACCTTCAGGGGAAAGAGTCGCATTCTACGTTGCAGGGAATCGGCTCTTTGGGTGAGAGTTGCCACCTGAGACCAAGCCTGCCACGTGGGAAGAGCTCCGCCCTCAGGGTCTCCTCCTGCCAGTCCCCCTCCATCCTGCCTCCACCTCTCTTGCCAATTTTGTAACCAGGAAATACTAGGATGGTGGAGACAGGAGGTATCTCAAAAAGCAGAGAGAAACAGTCAAGGAGCTCAGGGTTGTCTCTATCCAACGTGATGCCTTTGTGCAAATTAGAAAAAAACACCGCCTTCTCAATGTGCTTTGCTGTCGTCTGGCAGAAAGTTGTCCTTTATAGGATACAAATCTCCCATCGCTAGCGCCCCCTGGAGTTGTGTGGCACACACCCTGTGGCTCTGAAGGAGACTTTTCTTCCTCTGCGGGAATGCAGACATCATATAATTCCACCTGCCTCCTCGTTCATGCCCTGTTCACACATCTCCCCACTTTGCTGTGGTCCTTCTATGCCTGGGTAGGGACACCTGTCCTGCTGTGCAGTAGGCATGATGCTCCTGGTCTCCTAAGCTCCTCTCGGCTTCCCCCTTTCCCCATGGGACAAAGGCCAAAAAAAAAAAAATCTTTCAAAGGATTTGAGGGGGGCACCTCCTGGTATCAGAGGCAGTCAGAGAAAAGTAGTTTGGATGCCAAATTGCTGGAATCTCCAAATAGTTTCAAAAGTTCAGGAAGCTAATGGTATAGGAAATGTAGACCCTGAGAAGATGGTGATGTTCATGAGACGGGGAGGAAAGCAGGGGGCTGAGGCAGGAAGGGGCTGTGTGATGTCTGGGAGGGAGCAGAGCGCCCAGCCCAGGAGTAGGTTTTCTCCCTGCGGGAGATTGTGTTCCCAGCTCCTGACAACCGTTCCTTCTGTGGGTCTGCTGCTTCCAGGAGTGGCTATGAGTCTGCTTCCAAGGACTTTGTCCCTGGTGACTTGGAGGTCCAAGTTCCTGGGAGATCCTTCTTGGTCACCGGCGGAAACAGCGGCATTGGAAGAGCGACTGTCATCGAGATAGCCAAGCGAGGTGAGCGGCCTGCTGACTCGTGTGTGCGCTGGGCCCTGAGGCCAGCCTGTGGTCGGTCCACACCGGGAGAGTGCGCCATGTCATGGGCTGGTCAGGAAGACCCGAGCCGGCCCTGAAAGTGACCCCATGGTGATCGGCGCAGCTGCCAGCTTTCTGAGCTGTGCATTATGCTTCAGGCTGGAGGTGGACAGAATAGGTGACTAGAGGAGACTTTCCTCAACACAGTTAATTCACAGGGGAACTAGAGTTCTGCCCACAGGCCGGTGCTTTCTGATAAAGAGCAGGTAGGGGCTCCTGCCAACCCTAGGTCTGAACCACCAGCGGAACCTTAAAACAAAAAAACTGGAATACCTGTTTCCTGTCTTCTCAGCAAGGACGGGGTGGGAGTGCGGGAAGGAGACGGGGCGTCCGCCACAGCTTGGCTGTGCACCTCTTTAAGAACCAGTGCCCCCAGAATAACTGTGGAGGGGAGGGCACTGAACTTCCTTCCTCCTTCCTTGTGTGCTGGTGTCTCTCCTCCAGGGTTAGAGCAGCTGGAGACAGCCTCCTCTTTCTCAAACCTAACCTTGATTTTGCGAAGTGGCTCTCTGGGTGCCCATAAATTATTCAACCAGCTGAAGTCTTCCTCTGGGTAAATACCCAGATTTCCTACATGAGTCAAGTGCCTTGGGTAACTCAATGGCACTTGGTAGCTAGAAACGTCTGCTGTGACTCTCCAGAGCCACTTCTTGGGGGGAAAATGGTTGCTTTAGCGGGAGTTGGGGAAATAGGTTGGGAATTTATCACTTTCCAAGGTATTTGAGATGTTTTATTTTTTTCTCTAAAATTCAGTTAGGCGTTTTCCAGGGGAATGTTGCACCATTTGGAGCTGTATTTAATTATCTGCCAAGTCAGGGGGAAGATTAACTGCATCTCAGCAGCTGGGAGGTACTCTGAAGTGTTATGGGGAGGAGGGTAAAACAGAGGGGCTGGTGATGTGGTTAGCCTGTAGCCGCCCATGAAGCAGACCCCATTTAATAAAGTGGGCTATTTTAGGTGAAGAAAGCAGGTTCTGCAATGATTAAGTCTTCACGACTGCAGCCAAGGCATTCCCCTTAAATATGCCTTGGTTGATGATGGTATGGCCTTTGCTGAAATAGTCTGAGTGTCCTTTGTGGATTCAGCCATTCAGTAACTATTTATTGAGTTCCTGCTACATATCAGGCCAGTGCTTCTCAACTTGGACTGAACATGACACTCACCTGGGGAGCTTTTAAAACATACCCTGGCCTGGGCCCATCATCTAGAGCCTTTGAAAACTTCCCATGTGGGTCTAAAGTGCAGCCAGGTTGAGCCCTCTGTGTCGGGTACTCTATGAGATGCTCTGGGATGCAGGTGTGACCAAGACAGACCCTTCTTATACTTGATGTATTCAGATCCTTAAAAACATCAGGATGTTATCCCAGATGCATCATCAGTCAGCCCAGGTAGGCAGGAGGACAGGTTTCAGGATGCCCCTCTCTCTTACACCTGCTGCTCTGACTGTGGGGACCATCTGTCTAGATTTTCCAGAATAGTCGCAATTTCAGGTACTCGTTCTGCGAGCCCATATGTCTTAATTCCTCATTTGGAAAAGCTGGTCTCCACAGTTATCACCACCGCTGTCCCTCACTGGTGGTTTTGTTCATTTCCACCAGGTGGCACAGTTCACCTGGTTTGTCGCGATCAGAACCGAGCAGAAGGTGCCAGAGGTGAGATCATCAGGGAGAGCGGTAACCGGGTAAGCTGTTCTCCGTGCCTCCCGCTGGGGCTTCCTGCCTCCAGGGTCAGGGACTTGGCGGGTGGGTGGGGGCGGGTGTGGGCTGGACTCCAGCCCCTGCTCCCCGAATTGGCAGTGGCCTGTGGGTGCTTCCGCTTTGGAGACAGCTTCAGCCCACAGTGTTGGAGCCGTGCACTTCACAGTCTGGCTCGACCCGGGATAACGAGGGCAGTGAGGTTTGACTGGGGCCGGGGCCACAGCCTGCTGCGGAGACATTGCATGGGACAACGCACTGCTGGGGCTCCTCCCCCCGAAGGAGCCCACATCAGTGAGACACGTTGAGGGGACTCAGGGTGAGCCAAGCTGTGAACTGACCCAATGGCCCTCCGATAAAGAGGGACAACAGACAGCATTTTGGTCTTGATGAGAGCCACTTTGGGATGAGAGCTTCCAGCACTGGTGCACGTTCTGTGGTCTTCCTTTTCTAGAAGAGTTGGAACAAGGACCAGCTACCCTATTTGTGGGGCCCAGTGCAAAATGACAGTGTGGAAACCTTGTGTAAAAAACACTTAAGAATTTGAAGACGGCAGGCTTGGGGAGGGTATAGCTCAGTGGTGGAGCGTACGCTTAACATGCATGAGGTCTTGGGTTCAATCCCCAGTACCGCCATTAAAATATATATATATAGATGGTAAGGCAGAGCGTTAAAACAAGTGGGGCCCAGATGTGGGGCCCATGCACCTGCCCAGGTTGTACCCCATGAAGCTGACCCCAGTGGAAACCCCTGGACCCACTGTAAGGCAGAGAGAAGGGGCCCCGCACTGTCACTGAAGAGCGTCCTCCTTGCAGTCCTGCCTGGAGTTTCCTCCTCTGTCCTGTGCACCTGCTTCTCCAGCAGCCCCCACACCTGAGGGGCCGTGGGAGGAGCCTGGGGAGAGGCAGACAACGCCTCACTCCCGCAGGCTGGGACTGTGGCCAAACGAAAAAAATGCCCCAATCTAGAATGGGATATTTTGCATCTGCTCATGAAGGTTATTATTTATCTTTAAAGAATGTTTTCAAAGCCAGTGGCCCATCCTTTCCCTTCTCAGCAGACTCTGCAGCCTCTCACCGTCAGGTGCCTTCCAGAGGCTTAGTGCTGGTGGCGAGCAGGAGGGTCTCTAAATCTTCCTCTAATGTCTGCAAGTGCGGCTGCGATCTGGGGTCTGCAGCCCTCAAGATGGAGAGCTGGCTGTCTGCCTGCTGATAACTTTCAGTGGTGCTGCTGCAGAATGCAACAGGAATACTAATCTCAGGCCATGGGCAGAGGAGGACGCGCCTGGATTCCAGCCTGCTGTGGTTTGGGCTACATTTTTCACAAAGTGGATTTATATAGGGAAAGATGACAATATGGTTTTTTATACTGTTGAGCCATCCTGATACCCAACTGCCTCATCTTTGGGAAGGTAGAGCCGAAAGGGGGAGCAAGCCTGTTTCCTGGGGTGGGAAGAGAGGGAGCCCTCCACCTACTGCCTCCCCCATCCACGTGCACAAACCCACAGGAAATTCCTTCCTCTTTTGTATTTGTAAGTGACCTCCAGCACTGAGAGCTCGGAGGGTCCGGGGCTCATGGTACCCGTCTGCCCATCCCCGTGGGTGTGGTTTCCCGGACTCGGAGCATCCTCCAGGTCTGGCCGGGATCAGTGGCTGTTTGTGAATATTGATACATTATTACTACCCAAAGTCCATTCAGATTTCCTTAGTTTTTCCCTGACACCCTTTGTCTGTTCACAGATCCCAGCGAGGACCCCACATTACATTTAGTTGTCATGTCTCCTTAGCATCCTCTTGGCTGTGACAGTTTCTCAGGCTTCTCTAGTTTTTGATGACCTTGACGGATTTGAAGAGTCCTGGCGAGGTGGTGTGTGTACCATCCCTCCACTGGGGTTGGTCGGATGTGTTTTTCATTGATTAGAATGGAGTGATGGGTTTCCAGGAGAAAGATCACAGACGTAAAGTGCCAGGGCAACATTTTCACTGCTACCATGCTCCTGGTACGGCAGGAAGGGGCTGGAAGGGAGCCTCTGTCTGGTGGAGATTGACCACCAGACAACATCAAAACACCAAGATTAAAAACAGGGGTTTCTGCTCTCCAGTTCTCCCAGGCCAACGTGGAATTCCATCTCCTTGAGAATTATTGGTTTAGCTTCCCAAGTCCTAGACATTTGTATTAACTACCGCCTCATTCCTACATAGTAATTGCCACTTCCAAGGGCACATTCGTGCGCTGTTTTCCATTTGCTCTTCAGACTCACCCTCTGCCATGGGTAGAGGGGTTCCCGTAATGTCACCTCATGACTTCTGGGCCACCCAGCGGCTGAATGGTGGCTCATCTACAGAAAGGATCCCAGTTGAGTTTTGCTCAGTTTCAGTAACCATGCTAGCATTTCAGGTTTATAGAGCGAGTACAGGGGGCCGGTGGCCCCTTGGTCCAGCCTTGTCACGTGCATATCAGCAGATCAGGGTTTCTACACGCAGGTACCTGTTGCAGGTTCCTCTTCCTGGTCACAGCAGACTACTGGCCTCTCCTGTTTTCACCCAGGGGGAGACAGGTGATTTCCTTCACCTTTCCACGACACTTCATTTCACCAGGCTCCGTGTTGATTTGTCTAGAGCAGTGATTCCCTCTTCCCTGCTGCTGCCTCTTTTAAATTCTGAGCCATCTTGGGTGCTTCCAGGAAGCTCGAGGAGACTGTGGAATGATCAGAGGAGAACTGATTTTCGCTCACTTGGATTTTGTAGCTTATTTGAATTTTGTTGTCTTTTGAATCTGGCTCTTGTGTGTTTTGCTGCCCTGCTGGGTGGGAGGGAGTTTGAGGGTGATTGCGGGGAAGGCCTCAGAATGAAAGGATTAGGTGTCTGGACTCCGTTTGCCGTCACTGGTAGCGGCTCACAGCCGAGCCGAGGGTGAGTCAGCAGCCCTGTGCCCACCCTCCCCGGGCGAGGGCCTGCAGGAAAAGAGCCCAGTCCTGTACCGACAATGCTC